GCAACTTGGGGAGTGAATCAGCAGATGAAAGATATCTCTATCTCTCTCTCTGTCTTTACTCTCCCTCTCTTTGTAGTCCTGCCTTTTAAATAAATAAATCTTCAAAAATAAAAATCTTGGGGCTCACAACTGTTCTACAGTTTTAGTTACCAGCTAAGATGCCTGCATCCCATATCAGGGAGCCTGGGTTCAAGTTTCAGCTTTGCTCCATATTCCAGCTTCCTGCTAATGCACACCTTAGGAAGCTGCGGGTGATGGTTCCAGTGGTTGGATCCTTGCAGCCAATGTTGGAGTCTTGGATTGAGTTCCCAGTTCCTCCTTTGGTATGGCCCAGCCCTAGTTTTTGGCATACATTTGCAAGCAACTGAATCAAAGAATGGGAGCTCTCTCTTTCTCTGTATGTATGTCTGTTTCTAATATTTGAAAGCAGTTAGAGAGAGAAGGGGAAAAATGGAGAGAGAGGGAGATATCTTCCATCCACTGGTTCACTCTCCTAAAAGTTGGGCCAATGGATGGGCCCAGGCCAGGCCAAAGCCAGGAGCCTAGAATTCCATCCAGGTCTTCCATGTGGGTGGCAGGGACCCAAGCAGTTGGCTGTCTTCTGCTCCTTTCCCAGGTGCATTAGCAGGGAGTTTGATTGGAAGCACAGCACAAACTGGTGCTCATGTGGGATGCAGGCACTGGAAGAAGTGGCTTAACCCACCACACAAGAACACTTGCCCCTGATCACTTCTTTCAAGTATTTATGAACAAAAGACTCAATAATTCACCTTGTGGGTTTGCTGGAGATTGAAATTAAGCATGCTGGTCTATACTGCCCAGAAATTCCTTTTTTTGTCCATTATTTTTAAAAAAAGGATATTTGGGGCCGGCGTGCTGTGGCAAAGTGGGCTAAGCCTCCACCTGCAGTGCTGGAATCCCATATGGGTTCTGGTTCAAGACCTGGATACTATTCTGATCCAGCTCTCTGCTATGGCCTGGAAAAGCAGTAGAAGATGGCCCACATCCTTGGGTCCCTGCACCCGCATGAGAGAACTGGAAGAAGCTCTTGATTCCTGGCTTTGGATTGGCTCAGCTGTGGCTGTTGCGGCCATTTGGAGAGTGAACCAGCAGATAAAGGACCTTTTTCTCTGTCTCTCCCTCGCTCTGTCTGTAACTCTACCTCTCAGATAAATAAATAAAATCATTAAAAAAATTTTTAAACAGGATATTTACCTATCTCTATTTTGTGTGCAGCAGTCCTACATTCCAAGACAGCTCAAAGTTGAGCAGCTGTGATGAGGAAGATTACATGCATAAAGTCCCTGATAACCAAATCTCACTTTATGGTCCACAGGACCTTTAAAGAGACCAATAACAGGAGCTACCCTTTACTGAGCACCAGAAAAGCATGATAGTGCCCATTATGATCTATGTAGGTAAGCTGTGTTTCAACTGCTGCTTTTGCTACACATTACAGTGTATAATAAAAATAAAGCAATTCGTGTTATCTTGATATATTATTTTCCCCAAAAGGAAAATGTTTTCCTTGAAGTATAATGAAACTGGCCCTTTTTCTCTAGTTAAATTTTTCTAAGCCTCATTTCACTTTGGCCTAGTTCTTACACAAGTCTTTAATATGCCACTATTTATATCTTTTTTCTCTTCATGTGTTTTATTGTTTCTAGATCACCAGTCATCTTCTCCTCCCTTCTAACATCTATACTTACTCTTTCAAATCAATAGCATCTGCAGGTCTCCTGAGTTTGACATCATTCTCTCCTCAGTGGATTATTTGCAAACTCAAAACACCATTTGGTTACACTTTCCATTCATCTTCACTTCTAGGGCCATTTAGACTGTCTTCTCCCCTAAATTGCCAGATTGTGATAGCCAGAATTGAATCTTGCATGTTTTTCTAAGAACACATAGCACAACATATTTTATAAAACTATGTATTTCTAATGTATTGTAGGAAGAAAAGGAATAATAAAGCAAAGTTCATATTCTTTTAAAAAGTCTGGAGGAGGATAACAGAAATACTTTTACAAATCATCTAAAGGAGGAGCAGGGAATGTTTTTTCTGCCTGGGGCCATTTTGATATTCATATCATTCATAGGCCATGCAAAATTATCGACTTAAAAGTTACCCTGCTATTGGGGCCGGCTCCTCAGCATAGCAGGTTAAGCCTCTGTCTGCTGTGCCAGCATCCCATATGGTGCCGGTTCAGGTCCTAGCTGCTTCACTTCCTATCAAGCTCCCTGCTCATGAGCCTGGGAAAGCCATGGAAGATGGCCTAAGTCCTTAGGTCCCCAAACTCCCATGGGAGACCTAGAAGAAGCTTCTGGCTCCTGGCTTTGGCCTGGTCCAGCCCTGATTGCTTTGGCCATTTGGGGAGTGAAACAACACATGCAAGATCTCTCTCTCTGTCTTTCTCTGCCTTTCAAATAAATGAGTAAATATAAATTTTTTAAAAATTAGCCCGCTATAGATTAGTTGAATTTCGACTCCCACCTACGGTTGCCTTGACAGGGCCAGACCAAAGGATTCTGCAGGCCTTACATGGCCCATGGGCCAGACTGTACCTACCCCATCTAAGGGAATAAAGAGGCTACAAATGTGAATGCAAACTGAATATGAAAGTGGTGGATGTTAAAGTACTTGAGGACAGAAACAGACTGCTACATAAACAATTGTTAATTAATATCCTTGGGTGGACTGACTGCAGTGGACTTCTAGAGAGAAGCAGGCTAAAAAGTGGGAAGAGGAAAGGATAGGCAAATGGAGACTGCCTTGCATTTGCTTGTCTAACGATGGTTTATGGCTGAAATTCTTAACTTACTGTAACATAAGTAGATGGTCAGTTTTAAAGTTTCTCAAATACAGTGACCTTTCCAAACTTTGAACACTATTATGCCCTTAGCTCAATCTACATGGCCAGTTTAAGTTATACAACATGAACAAGCAAGGTAGATCCAGCTGTACTAGCCTGAGGCTCTCTTTTAAAAAGAATACAAAATTTGGCAGAAAAACCAAATTTTACTTAGAAATCTCAATAGATGAACCTGACCATGCAGATCTAGATTTCCTACTCTGAGGCAGCTTTAGGTGATTTATCAGAAGTGCTCCTGGTTGCAACCTGGCTTGTCCATTCCACCTAAAACAGCCGCAACTCCAGCAACTCCAAACATTGCCAGAGGCCAGGGGAAGAAGAGTTGGAAGCTTGAATTTCATCAGCTTCGCCCATGCCCACCTCTGACCTCACGAACACAGTAATTCTCAAGAGCTGGCTGGGACTCTTAAGAGAGACCACCCATTGGGTTAGGGTTAAAACAATTCCAGATGATTCTGATACACAACTGCCACTCCCAGCACTCCACGCCCCCCAGCACACACACACACACTGTTGCCAGTTTCCCAATGCATAGCCATGAAGTAAGACCCACAGACTTAAAGGGCAAAAAAAAAAAAGAAGAAGAAATCAACCAACTGCCCAATTGTCCCAGATCTGAACATAAAGGATATGTGAAATGTAAGACAGTGTTAACCTTTTACAACCAATGTAAAATAACTGCATTATTTTATGATGTAAATAAACTAAAAAGTCAGGAGACAGACACCCTGAAATCTAGACTAGGACTGGGCCTACCATTCCATTTATTCCCTAAGAAAACATAAATCCCACACATTCCTTTGGGAGTGAGCATATGTGTGCTCCCTGTCTTACTTGGGCTGGCTCTCCCATCGCCAGGGCAGCTGTGAGGTCTGAAGGCTGCTGCACCCAGCATCTCAGGGTAGCATCTGACTACTGCACAGCCTTCTTCACAACAAGATTCCGAGCGGAACTCAAGTCTTCTTCAAGCAGCATCTGCAGACTGGAGTTTCAGCCAACCGCCCCACTGGCATTTTTCTTTTCCAAAAGTCTTTAAGAAATGATAACCATCAGTCTACCCACACCAAAATTCTACAAGAAAACGCCAAGAAGTCAATTTCCCCGCAAGTCTAACACAAGCTTGGAAGGGCATGTGGTACTAGACTTCCAGTGGGAAAGGAAGGGAAAACAAAACGAAAGCGCTGGCTGTGGGCTTGGTGGCCCCAGCGACCATCTGCAAAGTCCTGGGCTGAGCAGCCCAGGGGCTTCCTGTGAGCCTGATTCCAGCCGCCGCCTCCTGTTGGGGGGATGGCCTCGCACCCATTCCCGCTGGACTGGAGACACGCCTCGGGTGTCACCCAAGTCTCCAATCCACAACCAGCAGCACGAAATCAAAATAATGTCTCTTCGCTCAGCTGATCTCTCTCCCGGAGTCCAGGGCTGGCCAGCCCCCGAAAAGAAGCTGGTAAGGGCGAGGGCAGTTTCGGGCCGCCAGCCTCTGGGGTACGGGTACTGTCGAGAGATGTCCGTGTCAGCGAAGCGCAGAGCGAAACAAATCACAACTTTGCACACTCCACGGAGCACGGCCCTGCGGAGCGGAAGGTCAAAGTGCGGAAAAGGGAGCGGCTACAGTTGGGAACCCCGCGGGGACGCAGCCCCGGGTGCCAGGAGAGAGTCCCGGAGGGGTCCCACAGCCTGGGGCTGGCCGCACCCACCTCCAGCCCCGAGCCTCCGCGCGGGGAGGGCGGGCGCGCGGGAGGCAGCCGCCAGCGCAGCGGTGACAACTCGCGGAGTTGCCTCGGAACTTTCCCGGGACGCGCCGCCTCCGCCGCCGCCCTCACCTTACTGAACACCTCCAGGTCGTCCTCGTCCTCGTCTAGATCCAGCACCTCAGACTGCAGCAGGGCGGAGGAGCCGCTGCTGCCCGCGAAGGGGGCGCCGCCCCCCGGGCTCTCCCCGTCGGCGCCCCCGGCCGGGAGGCCCGAGGAGCGCGCCTGAGATGCCCGGCGCTCGCCCTCCATCCCGAGAGTGCGCGCCCGGCCGCCGCCGCCGCCGCCAGCCCGGCACCCCCGAGCGTGCCCATTGGCTCCCGCGCATCCTGCGCCTCCCCGGCCGGCCCCGCTCCAGCCCCTCGCCCGCTGCGCAGACGCGGAACTGCCGGGGCCAGCGCCCGGCCGGGCAGGGTGGCCGCGGGCCGGAGTGCGTCCCCGCCCGGCCTGAAGCTGGCGAGAGGGTAGGGGTGGGACGGTGGGGCTGCCGGCGCGGGTTGGGAGAAGGCCGACCGCCCCTGGAAGGTAAGAGACGGGCGGCCCGCACTGTCCCAGCCGACTGTTTCCGCGGCGGCGGGCTCTGGGAAAGAGGCCACCGAGCAAAGCGTCCGCTTCGCGGGATCCACAGCGAGGCTGGCAGGCAGAGAGGAAAAAAATAAAAAAATCTGTGTTTCCTGTGGTTAATGGTTGCCTGCCTTCTTGGTTGTGATTTTCGAGTCTGTCCCTGTTCACCTAATGTAAAAATAACAAACATGAAAACCTCCTCATTTTGTGATCGATTTTAAACCCAGTAACAGGCCCGCGGTCATTTCACTATCAAACAAAGGAAGCTGAGATCTAAAAACTGCCTTCAGCCACTTTCAAACGCGTCTTTACTCCAGGAAGTCTTCCTGAAGTTGATGAGCAAGAATGTTCTTAAGAGCCAAGAGCAGCCAGCGGGGCTGGACGCTGCTGGGGAAAATGATCTTCAGCCCTTGCTCTGCCAGTGCACAGCTATAATTTTTCAGTTGCAACATTGTTATTTAAACAAAAATAAGTGAACTCCAAAAATAGTGGAAGATCAAATGCAAAGTGGAGTATTTTTAAAACATCAGGTTTTCTCATTTACTGCTTTTCATCCCGTCTCCTCCATAAGCCCTGTCTAAACTTTTCTAAAAAATTAAAGACTATATGTAGGAAAGCCCTATTTGGGTAAGTGGAGAATACCTTCATTTCTGATCCGAGGACATGGTCTTAATAATGTACAACCGCTTAACCATTCAAAAGTACCTCTCGTTGGCTTCAGGACAGGGACCCACCTTGTAGTCAGGTTAGTCATTGGCCAAAGAACATCCACACTTGTTCTTGACCTTTCTGGTTCCCTACCCGTCTGTCCCATCTCTTTCAGAAAGACTTGCCAAGTGACAATTGGTTCCCAATTCAACATTTAGTTTTAGTCTGTCTTACAGATTGGATTTGTTTCATACATGTCTTACATCCCTTAGTAAACAATAAGATTTATAGGTCAAAGATCACAATATGTATTGATAAACCACAGTATCACACGTATGCACTCAAATAGTCTCTGCTAAGGCTTATAAGGAATACAAGTTATTGAAACACTGTTTTTCCTGTCTAAGTTCCTTCTGGCTAGTGAGGCAGATTCAAGATCTCCTAATTGCAGTGTAAACCAGGAAATTCTTAATGATACCATGACTCACAGAATTCCCAGGAAGCATAGAGAACAAACAAGACCAGAAAGTGGCCAGACCAAGCCAGAGCTGCACAGCCCGGCTCACAGGCAAAACCGTACCACAGAACCAATGGCACAGGCTTTGCTGCCACCATTGCCTGGTATTAGATGCCACACCTCCTTCACATACTGCCATTGACACCTGTGGCACCACATTTCAGGTGTTAGCCCTGACTCTAGTACCATAGCTGCCTTTGAGAATCTCACCTGCTGTTGCTGCCACAAAAAAAAAAAAAAAAATCCCCACAATTCCATTTCTCTGTGTTGTTAGGTGTAGATTCAAAATCCCAGAGGAAGGGTATATCTTTAGCTTACAGGTAAGATGCTCAGATCCCATGTTGTAGCTCTGGATTCAAAGCTTAGTTCCAGCTCCTGACTCCAGCTTCCTGCCAGTGCAAACCCTGGAGGCAGCAGTGGTGGTTAAAGTAATTGGGTTCCTGCCAACTACATGAAAGACCTGGATGGAGTTTCCTGCTCCCAGGCTTCAGCCTGGCCCAGCCCCAGCCAGTGTATGTGGGGAATAAACCAGTGGATGACAATTTATGTCTCTCTCTCAGCCTGCTTTTTTTTTTTTTAAGATTTATTTTATTCATTTGAACAACAGAATTACAAAGAGGTAGACACAGAGAGAGAGTTCTTCCATCTGCTGGCTTCCCCCTAAATAGCCACATTGGACAGAGCTGAGCCAATCTGAATCCAGGAGCCAGGAGCTTCCTTGGGGTCTCCTACGAGGGTGCAGGGGCCCAAGGACTTGGGCATCCTCTGCTGCTTTCCCAGGTGCATTACCAGGGATCTGGATTGGAAGTGGAGCAGCCAGGACTCGAAGCAGCACCCATATGGTGCTGCACCAAAGCGTCGACACCTCTCTAAGCCTCTTAAGTAGATAAATTTTTAAAAATTACAAAAAAGAAAAGTGGAGTTTATGTCTGCTTGGCCAAGTGGCCAAGTCTTATGAAGAGAGACTTGTGCAGAGAATTTTCTAAGCAGAAAGTCCATACTGATGCTGGTCAGGAAAGAAAGAGAAAGACAAAGATCCCTACTATAGTCTATGATTTTGGCTGTCCAATATTGATAAACTTTCTCCACATACTTCCCGTAAAAAATAAGAAAACACTGTTTTTATTTAATCCTCACAGGCATCCTATGATACAGTTGCTGTTACTACCATTCCCATTTTGCAGACAAAAATTGATGATGAACAGAGAAGCATGATATCTTACCCAAGGTAAGTAGTAAGTGGTGAGTGATTTATTGTTCACTGAACAGAATGCTATATACTTTGACTCTGAAAATAGAAAAGGAAATCTATAAAAATATTTGCAGTTTCTCAGTTCTTGAAAATTATCAGAAAAGATAATGCTCTAATCCTTCCACCACAAATCCTGAAAAACTGTAATAAGAATCTAAATTCACGGGGCTAGCAATGTGGTATAGCAGGTAAAGCCACAGACAGCAATGCTGGCATCCCATGTGAATACCTGTTCATTTTCTGGCTGTTCTGCTTCCAATCCAGCTCCCTGCTAATAGCCTGTGAAAAGCAGCAGAAGAGGGACCAAGTGCTTGGACCCCTGCCACCCACATGGGAGGCCCAGGTGAAACTCCTGGCTCCTGGCTTCAGCCTGGCCTAGTACTGGTCATTACCAGTGAACCAGTGGATTGAATATATCCTCTCTTTCTCTAACTCTGGGTTTCAAATATATGTCTTTTTTTTAACTTTTATTTAATGAAAAATATATAAGTCTTAAAAAAAGAAAGAATCTTTAAATTTATGGCTGAGCCTGCAACAAAGCAGTTGATTTCTAAGGACAGGAAACAAACTAACCTCAAGTGAAAGCTAGGGAATTAAGTAGATACTCTGCCCACAAGGTAGAATGGGTCTTAATAAATGCTTGAGTTTGAACTTTCTTGAAGATATAGTAGAAATATAAACTTGTAAAATATTCAGTCAGTAACAAAATACTCCTGGGTCTCCCTGGGCTGCATGCAGGAAAGACACCTAAGTCCTAACCCTGAACTGGGAAGTGAGAGTTTCTGAGTTAGTGATAATCTGGGATCCTTGACATCATCCAACAAATAATCTCTTTCTTAGCACAATTCTGAAGAAGTTGCTACAGGTAATGCCATACTGCAGATGAGATCACAATTCAAACTTAAAAACTTCCAAGGAAAGAATCGACCATTACAGAAGCATCATACAAAGCTATTAGAAAAAAAAGGACAGCCTCAAAGAACTTTACATAAGGAAAAAATATACAAAAATATATTAAATGAATTTTTAAAACTCCAAGATGCTATTTAAAAAGTTGAGAAATGAAAAATATAGACATTGTGCTAGCTGTTCCATGTTTTCCTCTAAGTTGATTCTTGTCACCTGCTTTATGAGAGTGGAAAGGAACCTGTGAATAGTTCGTCTTTACCATTTGGTAAATGTTAGACTTTGTGAGTAAAGAACCTAGAGAGATCCTAGAGGAAGCTTGTCTTCTTCCTCTTGCTGGTGTGGTCTCTGGCGCTCATTTTTCTGAACTGCTCAGTGAGAGTCCTGAAATGCACAACTTTCTTTGGTGATCAACTCACTGTAAAAATGTCCTGTGGGGGCACAGTCTAGAGACAGATATTGTGGGCCTCCCCCCACCCGGCCGTGTGGCTGTACCCCCTCTACCTTTAGTCCCGAGCATGGATGCACAGCAGGGGCACTAGAATCCAGGCTTTGCATGACCTCTGTCTTGCACAGCCAGCCAGTGCTGACTCTGCACCAGACTCTGAGAGAGAACCCCTCAAGTGTCTGGTCCTGACAGTGTCCAACAGGCAGCAGCTTTTCCTGGCACTCAGCAAGTTTTGTGGTCCAGCACTTCCCAGAGGTCATATTTCCAGCATGTCCCACCAGTGAAATACCTAATTGACTTCTCCACTATTCAGGAGTCACAATGGTATTCTTTCTAATGACATCAAGATTTCAGGCCTGGCAAAGCTGGACTTGACTTTGGGTATTTATCTTAGCACTAAGGGGATGATCACACTTTATATCTGCTGTTGGTATATTTGATAGAACTTTTAACTCTCTCATTATTCTAAATCCCTGTTAATAATGTTTATATAAAACTTTACCTGTTCAAATGACTAGATGGCACCTGTCTCTTGAGTAGACTCTGAACAATACAGAATATTACCAGGAATTACTCCAGCTAAATCTGCAAAGTTGGCATTCTGGGGCTGGTACTGAGGTGCAGCAGATAAAGCCACTGCCTGCAGTGCCAGCATCACATATGGGTGCTGGTTCAAGTCCCAGCTGCTCCACTTCTGATCCAGCTCTCTGCTGGTGGCCTGGAAAGGCAGTGGAGGATGGCCCAAGCACTTAGGCCGCTAAATCCACATGGGAAACTTAGAAGAAGTTCCTGGCTCCTGGCTTCCTATCAGGTCGTGTCTGGCCATTGCAGCCATTTGGGGAGTGAACCAGTGGGTGGAAGATGTCTCCCTCCCTCCCTCCCTCCCTCTTTCTTGCTTTCTTGCTTTCCCTATCTATCTATCCATCCATCCATCCATCCCTCCCTCCCTCCCTCTCTCTCTGTATAACTCTGCCCTTCAATGAATAAGTAAATCTTTTTTAAAGGCTTACAATGGCATTCTGAGAACCTCCTTACCACCAGCTGACTGAGGAAGAAAACCCTTGAGTGTATTCCCCATTTGCAAGCCCCACCTGAAAGTGGGCAGCTGCATCTGAATGGGCCCACTCAAGGGTAAACCTGAAGGACAGGGTTGAAGGAAAATCTCCTCATTGGTCAGAACTTAAAATGTAACATTTGGTCATCTACTAAGTCTGGAGAGAGAGATGACCAGAAATACAGGCCCATGATTAATTCATAGGCAGTTGCAAATGATTTTGTTGGATGATCAGGGAGGGACTTAGAAGGAATAGTTTGGGATGACTGGTGAATAGGGAAGTTAGTCAAGTATATGGATAGACATTTCAGAATGCAACAGACTCAGGTATCCATGGCTGTGAAGTGCCCATTAGAGTACAACTACTATGCAGGAGCTTCTTAATGATTAAGTGGACAAATTGTGCCTTCTGGGCTGTCAGTCAACCTTTCTCCCTGTCATCAATGCCTTACTGGGTCTGTGAACCAATGGCTATAGTGGCTGGAATGGAGTCTGTGCATGAGCTCAGCAGCATGAAAATCTTTTCACCCAAGCTCTTCTGGCTACTACTGCTGTCATGCACCTAATGTGCCAACAGAACAGTTAACATTTATCTCTCAATGCCGAATCATTCCTGAGGTGTGAGGTCCATGTCAATGGTCTCATGGCAGCTTGATTAGGTGGGATGTCTCCCTTCATGGAATAGAATAGAATGGAATAGAGATTCATTCTCACTGAAATAGACACATTCTGGATGTGAATTTGCCTGCATTGCCAATTCTGTTTCTGCCACCACTACCACCCCACGGATTAAGAGTGTTTTATTTACCATGATGACAATCCACACAGCATTACATTTTGCCAAGGAATATAACTCACATCGAAGGAAATTATCACGGGCTCATGCACATGGAATCAATTTTTCTTATCATATATTTTATAACCTGGAAGTGATGGGCTTACTGAAGACTCAGTTGCGGTGCCATTTGGGAGACAGCATCTTGAAATGGGATTCTGTTCTACCTTAGTGGGTACAGGGTCTCATATACAGTGCATCAAAATCCTTTCTATGATGCTGTGTCCTCCACAAGTAGGAAACATAGGCACAAGGATCAAGGAGGTTGAGAGTGACTCGTCTTCCTGTTACACTGAGAATATAGCTGCAGAATTTTGCTTTCCACCCCCTTTCTCTGGCCCAGAAGTGAGTTGTACTCTTTTGTTCACACTCATTGACCAGAATAGATCAGATGAATCCACTAAACCTAAAGTTGTCATGAAAAACAATCATATCGTATGCTCAGTAGGCAGAGGGTCAAAAAATACTTAAATAGTACAAATGACAGCTTTTACCTGAAAGCACTTAATTCTAGGTGATTAACATGAGCTAGTGACAAGCTAATGGAGGGTTCATAACCCCAAGCCTGTGATTAATACCCAATTATCTCCGAGTATAAAACTCTTTATATTATATTTCTTTCTGGCTTAGAAAACTCAGGCATATATTTTAAATTATTAACTTCAATTTATTCATCAACAAAGTTGGGATAATTAATAGCATGTACTTCAAAGTTATGAGGATCAAAGAACCTAATATAAGTGAAATCATTGTGAATTAAAGATATATACTAGTCTTAATCATTTTATTACTATTACTACTAGCATGTGGTTGCCATATATACCTTTAATATCATTCATTTAACCATTAGTATGTGGTTGCCATTATTTCATTTAGACTCCCAAGCAGCACTGCTTGGGTTAGTGCCTATGATGCAATATAATGCTTTGCTGCTTTGACTACAATATGTGTTTTTAAAAAAGATTTCCATTACTATTATGGCATACTAGCAATTTCAAGTCCTCTGCCATTTTTTGGAATAAAGAAATAACCTAATGTGTTAGGATACCAAGGCAACATAATTTTAAACATTAACCAAGCAAAACCTAAAGGATATGGATTATGCGTGTAATTCCATGACCTACAATGGCCTGCTTTTTTTTTCTTGAAAAATGAACCAATAATCCTATCAAAAGCAGGAATTTATGAATGATCTTCATTAAAAACAAGAAATGGGTGGATTGTGGTGCAGGGGATGGGGGCAGTTCTTCCAATGCAATGTTCTGCTAATGCATACTGGAGGAAGCAGATGATGGCTCAAGTGTTTGCCTCCTGCCAACCACACAGGAGATGTGGGTGTAGTTTTGGGCTCCTGGCTTTAACTTGGCCCTACCCTGACTACTGTTGGGCATTTGGGGAATGAACCAGTGGAATGAAGATATTCCTCCTTTTCATCCATTCATCTACCTCTTCTTCTTCTTTCTCCATCCCCTCCTCTCTGCCTTTCAAATAGAAGACATTAACTTTTCAAAAAATAAAAAGAAAAGAAAAAGAAGAAAAGAAAAAAAGTTATTACCTTAACACAACTGAAAATACAAAAATAGACAGGTAGGGGGAACTCCAGGCATAGTAAGATCATTGTTGAATAAATATAATCTAATTAATTATATGAATGGATTGATTTTAAAACAACTTAGTATTACCAAGCTTGCTTCTAAATTGTCGATGTTTTTTACTGAACACTAAACCTCCAT